TTTTTTTTTTTTTTTTTTGAGACAGGGTCTTACTGTGCAGTTCAGGCTGGGTTTGAACTCACTATGTAGCCCAGGCTAGCCTCAAACTCACAACAAGCCTCCTGCCTCGGCCTCCCACTTGGCACTACGTCCAGCCTATGTGGATTTTTGACTTGGTCTCTCACAACTACTCTGTGGGGCTTATGATTCTTCCTCTATCCTGTCTTTCCTGGAACATTCCAACTGTGTGGGTACAGCACTGAATGAGAGTCACTACTGATCAGTGCTTTGCTTGGCAGGAGTCACCAGGCAGCTGCTGATGCAGCATGACTGGGAGGAGGAGATACACCCTAGTGGCCCTTGGGAAACGTCACAGAAGTAATTTTTTGTTGTTGTTCTAAAGAGCAAATAATATACAGACACCTTGAAGTAAACTATCAGATAGCCCCCTGGCTTCCCCTGTCCAGCGTTTCCTCCCACCCCTCTCCCCAAGATGACACCATTAACAGAGGAGTGGTGTTCTCCCAGACCATTGTTTTTGCCCAGACGTCCTGAAAGCTGTTTAGAAGGACTTTTCTTTCCAAGAATTCTCTCCTCAGCTACTCTGCTCTCAATTAACCTTTACTTGCTTTTCAGCGGAGCACTTTTGCATTTGGAACTAGATTGAAGAATAAAGCCACAGAAACAGATTTGTTTTCTTCTAAATTTGAATTCTGCAGGCTATAGCTCCTTGTTTGTTCCCTGTTTGACTCTTAAACTCTTTTGTTCCCCGGGGATCCTCTGTAGGAACAAGAAACAGGTCATTTAGTTATATAAAATATACAAAACGTTATTTTCCAGGTGAGGGCAGTTTCTTGGCTCCTAAAGTAAGTTCCTTGGGAGCTGCTGATTGGTGTGTCAGCTGATGGTGGACCCTTTGAACATCAGAGGGAGTAAGTATGAAGGCCTTTACCTATCTTTTGTCTTTCGTTTTTTTGTTTTTTTGGAGGTTATCAGGGATCGAACTTGGGTCCTTGTGCTTGCGAGGCAAGCAGTGGAAGCACTGAGCTAAATCTCCAGCCCACAATCATTTTTTCTTTCTTTCTCGCAGTTATGTACTTCAGGCTGGCCTAGAACTTGCGGGGAGCAATCCTCTTTCCTCAGCCTCCTGAGTGCTAGGATTAGCCTTTGCATATCTTTAAGTAGTATATAAGTGGCTTAAAATGTATATAAACTGAATGAAAATAGTAGCACTTGTAATTTACTTGCCATTTGCTCTTTATGAGTTTAGGTGTTTTTGTTTTTTCTAAAGACCTGGGGTGTTGAACCCAGGAAATGCTGAGCTATATCCCCAGGCTTATTCATTTTTTAAATTTTGAGACAAGGTCTCATTAAGTTGTTCAGATTGGCCTTAAACTTGTGATCTTCCTGCCTCACCCTCACAAGTAGCTGGGAGTACAGGTGTGTGCCATCTTGTCTGGCCGTTAGGTGTTTTGAAGCTTTGATCAGTGGCCTAGGAATGGCCTTGAACATGTGTAAATATCTTTTCTTTGTTCTCTTTCTTTTGATGTCTCATCTTAAAATACTGCATGGAAGATGGGCAGTCTGTCTCTGGGTTCCTAAAGGCACACGGGGCACAGGATATATCATAGGATATATCTAGGCACAGTGTACCTAGAAATGTAAGGGGGTCTTGGAGAGAGGTCTTCTAGACCTTATTGCCCAGACATTGTTGCCAACAGAAGATGGGCTTGATGACTTTGTGCCTTGCTAAAGATTTCCTTGTGAGTGTGTGCTGTCGGTAGGGGCTGGATGCCAGACATTATTTGCCTATCTGGAGTTTGACTCTATGGCAGAACTATGAGTTTAGTTACAAGAATATTGCGGGGTTTTTTTTTGTTTTTGTTTTTTTTTTTTTTGGTACTGGGGATCGAACTTGGGTCCCTGTGCTTGCAAGGCAGACGGCGGAACCACTGAGCTAAATCCCCGGCCCAAAAATATTGTGTTCTTGATGTGAGAGCATTTGAAACTATTTTCTTGCTTTCTCACCTTCTTAGATTTTAGACCTTCTAAAGTATATTCTCATTCATTCATCCTCTCCCCCCTCCCCTCCCCCTCAGGGATTGAACCCAGGGCCTTCACACTGACCTACATCTCCAGGTCTCCCCTACCCCCATCTTGAGATAGGGTCTCACTAAGTTGCTGTGTAGCCCAGGCTGGGCTTGAATTTACAATCCTGCCTCAGCCTCCCAGAAGCATGTGTCACTGTCCCTGGTTTAAAGCTCTTTTGAGTTTGCTACTCATACTTGTGCAGGCACTGTGGCAGCAAGCACTCAGGGCCTAGAACACAGGCTACTTGGATGTTCTAGATGGGTCTCAGCTTGCCATCACATGGAATTTTGGTTTCATTAGGAATTTCTATAAGAACAAAGAAGTTGTGTTGAACAACCTAGTCATTTCCTTGTCTCAGCCAGATGCTACTTTTTTTTTTTTTTGTACCTGGGATTGAACTTAGGTCCTTGCGCTTACAAGGCAGGCCACCAAACCACTGAGCTAAATCCCTGGCCCCAGATGCTACTTCTAAACCAAGAACCCTGAAACCAGGTTGAAATACTTGTTTCTTTACATAGTTTTGCTATACTTCATGTTCTTGGAGCTACTCTCTACAAACCTAGTATCAGACATGACAAATTTGTCTTTGCTTGGTGTTTCCTCACACAGCCATCTTAGCCAACCCTGGGACTCTCTGAGTAGCTGTTGGAGCTCCTCCACAAAAAGGGACTTATAGAAATTTCTTTTTCTCACCTGCTTGGTCCTTGAATGCAAGCATCTTTCTTTAGGAAGACAGGTTACCCTTCATCATGGGGACTATGGCAGGAAACAAGGAGTGAAAATGACCATTTCAGAGACTTGAGTTCTGCCGGGCGTGGTGGCGCACACCTGTAATCCCAGCACTCAGAAGGCTGACGCAGGAAGATCGCTGTGAGTTCGAGACCAGCCTGGGCTACATACTGAGTTCCAGATCAATCTCAACTACATAGTGAGACCCTGTCTCAAAAAAACCCAAAAAAGCCCACAAAAAACAAAACCAAACAAAAACAGAGACTTGAGTTCTGAAATCCCCTCAGAGATAATTCATCCTACTCTGGCACTTGCCCAGCTGGCTATGTCATACTATCTGGGAGTAGGACACCTGCAGCTTCTGAGGAGGGTGGAAACTGTCCTTAGCTAGCTTCCTTCTTCCTCATTTGGAGTAAAAGGCAAGACAACTGGTGTTGGGCTACTTCTGTTCAATGCTTCTGGCATGACGATTCATGTGGTGGGATTCAGAGAGGTAGAATTGGCAATATGTCACTCAGTGTGTACAGAAGGAATGGTTGTGTTTACCTAGTCTGAGGTATTGTGTGGTCCGTGCTGATAGCTACAAAGAGAGTGGGATTGTCTGGTGCTGGTGTGAAGGCTGTGGTATGCTGTTACATAAACCGTGCACCTGGAAAGCCATGGGTGAGTGGGGGAGTCAGGGGATGACAGCCTGAGTTTTCATTTGCTTAGCTCTTTTTTCCCATCACTTTGGTGTGTCCATTGTGTTGTATCAGTTGGGCAAGATGTGGGTTCCTGAAAAAGGATTGAGCTGGGTCTGTGAATCTGCTGAGGAGGGTACCCAGCACACACACACATTCACCTGCACACTCATAGTCTTTGTTAAGTGATTAACAGTATTTGACTCTTGTTGTTTTGTATGCTTCTGTAGTGTATACCTTCACAGGGTAATTGTCCCCTGCACAGTATTTCCATAGTTTAGACTTGTGTCTCCTCATTTTGAGATTACTGGCCTCAAAATCTAGTTTTATCATTTATGCTGTTTTTAGCCTGGTATCATTTTGAATATTGGGAGTAATGTGAATTTTTGTACTCTCCTGAGAAAGAATCCATGTAGGTCAGTCTTTATAAGAAAAGAGGGCAATATCGCATGGGTTCTGCAAGCTATTTGTTGGTGTTATTCTTTCCTGTCTAACTACTCTGAAAAGATTTGATGAGGATATTAGGATTCCACTCAGAATCATCCCAGATGAATGACTTTTTACAAACAGTTTTTATTTTTCATCTCTTGCCCTTACGGCCATCTGAAAGCAGACTCATATTTCCCTGCAGTGGTGAGAACTGGAGAGTATATTGTGAATTTGATTTAGGAAAAGAGTGACCATGCTGAAGAAATTGTTTGAGACCCAGAACTACAAGGCTTGTTAAGAGATTCTGCATTAGAGGAAATGTTGAATGAGAACACATGTGTGACAGGCTCTCCATCCCTGAGAGCAACCCAGATTGAAGTATGGGCTATGAAGTAAAGAAAGCTTCTCTCCTCTCTATTCCTTCTGCTCCTGAATTTTCCTGTCACATTATGGCTATTGGGAATAGTCACTGGAAGTAAAAATGTTAGTGTTTAGTTCCATTTTCTTTCTTGTCCCTACCAAAACATGGGTTGGAATTTAAATCTGAAGGATTGGCAAGATTCTTGAAGAAATGAAATTGCTATCTCGCCTCCAGAATAAACTCTAGGGTTAGCAGGGGAATTCTCTGCTCCTGTCTGAACCTGTCATCCTTAACCATGAAAAACAGGCTAAATTAAAGGCAGCCGAGAGTTGGACTAGGGAGCAGTAGGGGTCAAATGCATTCTCAGATAATCTTTGAGCTTCCAGGATTGGTTGGTGAGGAGGAAGATAGTGGTATTATCTGCCATTTCTAGACTTGCCTTAGTCCTAGCCACACTGGTTTTAGGTGAGGGAAATGGTCCCTCTGGTAAAATCATGGTGGTGAGACAGAGGGAGGGAGGCAAACTTTCTAAGTGAGAGAGTGTGGACACATAACCTTCCTCACAGTGATAAGAGTCTTAAGTCTTAGTCCTTGAGGAGGAAGCTATCTTAGATTGAATTAGGATTGCAGAGACCCTGGAAATTCTCTATAAATCTAGTGGCATTCTCCTAGGTCCCCAAATGATGACCCAAGAACATTTGCCCAAGAAATGCTGACGTGGGACCGCTGTTGCTTACCTGAGGACCATTGTGTCCATAGTGTCCATCCTCCCAGCAACATACCCAGTTATTTCTCTCCCCTGCAGGCTGGCAGACTCTAAGGATGCAGCTCGTGCTTCTGAAGGTGTGTGGTACCTTTCCTGAGCCAGGCCATGAGGCCATGTGGCCATAATGTGGGCCCCTCATGGCCTCAGTGGGAGCATAGCAGCACAGTATTGGCCTCTGCCACAGAAACAACTACAAGCAGAGCTGTTCTTCAGGCACAGTGCCTGCCCCAGCACTTGAGAAGCCCTTGGAGGGTGAAGGCTGGGCTCAGGCCCATCAGCAGGTGAAGCCAATCTGGAAGCTGGAGGACAATCACGTGGATACGTTGTCAGCAGTGCTACGCCCAGGTGTCTTAGGGATCCCACTTCAGCCGGCCTATTTCTTTTGTCCCAGTACTTTATGTAGCTCTAGCACCACAGCTGTCATTGCAGGTCATAGCAACTCCAGTTACCTGCAGTATCCTCCAGACTTGTCCAGCAGTACCCTGCTGTACCGGCACAAGTCATACCAGCAACTGGAGTCATTCTGCTTGCATTCCAGCCCATCAGAAAAAAGACCTTTTTCTCTTCCTCAGAAGAGGCTCCCTTTCAGTCTCACTGCCAATAAAGCCACCTCTTCCACAGTCTTCCCCATGGCCCAGCCCATGGCATCCTCATCTACAGAACTATACCTCTCACTGGCAGCAGCTGGGGAAAGCCCTTCAAGGACAAGCCTGGCCCCTGCCATCTCAGGGAAGATCACATCTCCACTGTCTTCCTCCTACAAGCCCATGTTGAACAACAACTCCTTCATGTGGCCAAATAGCACTAAAGTGCCTTTCTTCCAGGCCACAGAGAGCCTAAAACCAGTGTCCTCACCCAAGATTCAGCCTGTCTCCTGGCATCATTCAGGGGATACTGGAGGCTGTGTACTCCAGCGTGTTGATCATAATGTACCCGAAAGCAATGGCACTTTCCTAGATGATGCCACTGTCCATATTACTCCATCTACCCCTAGGTCCCTCAACACATCCACCACCAGTGTTGCCTCTTCCCAGTACAACTGGAATAACTTAGCCACAAGGCCAGAGCTATACCCCTATGGCCTGAATGATAACTCCAATTCCCAGGCTCCAGCTAAAGAGGTTCATTTCACTGAAGCTGTCAGGAGTTTGTCTGAAAAGAGCTTTGAGAAAAAGCCACAGCAAGGCTACGAGCTTGAACAATCTTGTTTTGTGAACACTAACTTCCAGTGGAGCCTCCTCAACAGGAGCCAGCAGTGGAAACCTGTGGTAGGCCAGCAGTTTCCTCTGGAGGACACTGGATCAGACAGGAAGATCTTCCCTGGAGCCTCGGACACTGTGGGGTTGGATAGTACAGTCTTCTGTACCAAAAGGATCAGCATTCACCTCCTTGCCTCACATGCCAATGGGCTGAACCCCAGCCCTGCCTGTGGGTCTGTAATTGACTCCTTACCGGTTGGAGAAGACAAAGTTCCCATTCCCTCTTCTCTCCTTCAGCCCCTTGGCATAGCTGAAGTGGCCACCCGCTTCTCTTCCATCCATCTAGTCCAGCCTGGGAACGAGGAGCCTAAGGAAGCCAGGGACTCACCTGCTATTGGGTAAGTTGGAGAGCATCTCTGGTTCATTTAAAGATATACCGTAATTCAGTGACACTGGCCCTTTTCTTGCAAAGGTTGGTTTTATTTTTTTAGACATCTTAGAATTTTTGGTTTTCACTTTGGGGCAGGGGTTTGGAAACTATAGCTTGCAGGCCAATTCTTGCTGATTGTCTGCTTTTGTAAGTAAAATTTTATTGGCGTGCAACCTTGCTTATTTATTTGCTAGTATGTGATTGCTTTCTTATTAAAATGATAGGGTTGAATAGTTGTGACAGACTGAAAATGTTTACTATCTGGTCCTTTACAGAAAAAAATTGTTAACTCTTTTTAAGTTCTAACCAGGAGAGAAATGAGAATTCCAGACATCTATTTAGGAGTCAAATTGGGGTTTTTTTACTTTCCTACTTTCTCTACAGCAAATCAGGTTCCTCAAGGCATTCCTAGTATGACTGCCATTCAGAGTTGGGGCATAGACATGGTTGGTTCATTCTCTTGTGCCTTATTACTATTCTGGAACCAAAGTCTTCTTCTGAGTTCTCAGCAGGTGGCCAAGGGACATTTGAAGTCAGTTAACAGATATTCACTGCAGAATTTTTGTGTGCAGAATTTTGTATTTGTATACTATGAAACATTTTTTAAAATAGAAAATTGCTGGGACCTGTAATCCCAGCGCTTAAGAGGCTGAGGCAGGAGGATCACTGTAAGTTCGAGGCCAGCCTGGACTGCATAGTGAGACTCTATCTCAAAAAAATCAAAAAAGGAAAATATAGTGCTTCCATATGGGGGATGTAGGGAACTATGGTTAGATGTGAATTTTGATGGTGAGAGGAATGAATTTTGAGGTCCAGGCAAGAGAAACCAATCAGATTAGTGACAGGAGAGATACACATATTGGGAGATGATGTAAGAATGAGACTCAAACTGTGACTTCTCTCATGGAGTGGGCTGGCCTGGGCCATTATTTCTTTTAGTTCAGCTACTGACCTCCAGCCAAACCAGGTAGAGGCTGAAGATACAGAAGAACTAGTAGATGGTGTGGAAGACTGCTCCAGCCATGATGAGAATGAAGAGGAGGGTGAGTAGGGAATCCTTTTCCCTCCAGCTGGTGTCACAACCTGTTGAAGGAGGCCAATAACACATGCCAGGTTTGTCTCACATTATCAACCACATGAATCAATTGCTCTGGGGGGCCTCCAGGGAGAACTGGGGGACTTGGATCTTTAGTCCTCCTGTCCCGTCGGTCTTGCTTTGTCTTTGTTGAGCTCAAGGAAGGGAGTGCCAGGTAGTTGGGTGGTACTTGCAGCTCTCCAAAGAGAGCCGAGTCCAGAATATTCAGTAAAGTGTGTGGTAGCCTCTTCCAGACTGGCCTTCTCTGTGCTTCCTCCTTCAGGGGACTCCGAGTACTCCTCAAGTGCTATCTCCCCTGGTGAATCAGTGGCCAAGATCTCTCGGTGAGTGTCAGTTGTGTGGATTATTGGTAGATGCTCATATTGTCACTTCAGGATTATGAAGAGATTAACCATACTGGCCCTGAGAACCCTAACTGATTTTCACCAAACTTTATGATTGTGACTTTAGTGTTTGAACAGAGAACCAGACACACACCAGTCAATTGGGCTTAGAAATAGCACTGTACTTTTTTAGGATTCAAGTTGGTCTAGAGATGCCAAGAAATTATTCAATTAGAGAAATAATTTCAAGAAGTGTTTTTTTTTTTAAATGAATAGCCAATTAATAAATATTATATGTGAGACAATTTCATAGTCATTTAGGTCACCAACATGAATGTAATTGTCACCTACACCATATGATGCATCTTGTTTTGACAAATATAGATAGGAGCTTTTAGCCACCTACCATTCCAGTTATTTAAATACAGGGTGACCAGAAATTGTGTACTTTTTCGTTAATTTTTATAAGATGATACAAGAAATATAAAAATGACAATTTTATCAGATTTATTCAATAATTTCTCTGTGTATGGTATATCTTAAAACATTCAATACACAGTGCCACTTTACAGTCTTGACAATAGTATCTAATCTCTTTATGAATTTTTACATTTTAGTCTTTCTTTGAATAACACACTTTACACCGTTGTCCTTTTTTCCTGTGGGTGTTATAATTTTGATAAAATGTCTACCCTCTAAGTGTAATGGTGAAGACATCAATGATGGATGTCCTGCTTGTCTATTCCATATTTTTCAATTATTGGTCTGTTAGACCTAATCTAAATTATAAGTGACTTTTTGAACCCCCTTGTTTTGAATAAATAACAAATGAGTTCCATGTTGATTGGCCCAGAAGAAACATAAATATTCTATAATAATATTTTTTCCTTGCTTTTTGATTACAGAATAGCTTGTTGGATGTTGGTTAATTGTGTCAACACCACTCATATAATTATTATAATCATTGGCCATTACTGGAATTTCTTTAGTTTTTTGTGGGGTTTTGAGGTAGGGTGTTGCTATGTTGCCCAGGCTGGACTCAAACTAGCAGGGATCCTCCAGCCTTATCCTCCTGAGTCCTGGGATTACAGGCTTGAGCTACCATGCCTGGCTCGTTTCTTCTTTCAAGTTCTATTATTTCTGCATTATGAACAGTTAGCAACAAGAAAATGTCTCTTTTGTCTTTCCATTTCATAACATAGACTTTCCCTCTCTGATACGCTAACATTTCTCCCCCTTTTTCAGTTTTTCTTTTACAGATCTTTTGGCACTTCCTATTCAGTCTCAGTGTTACAAATGTGTTCATTTTGTATTGTAAAAGAATATCACTGAATTCTGGAGAAATATAAAAATTATATCTAATGTACTTACAATAAGAATTTTTATAGATTGTAGCACAAAATTACAAGTTATTTTTCACAAACATGAATTAGTAAAAGAAAATAACCAAAACTTACTAGATTTCACTAGAAACAAATATCAAAGGTGAATATATTCTAAATTTAAAAGTATGCAAAAAATAGTTGATAAAAAATAAACAGACATATGAGTATATCTCATACAAACAAGAATCAACTGGCTGAAATGACACATGGCCCAGCAATGCTTGGGGTCATCAGTACATAAACAAACCTGCTGCCTAAGTAACACTTGCGGTAAACTGTTAAGTGGTTAAAATGCCCTTTGGTTCCTTTCTGAAGTTAGTTTTATGTTGGAAAATACGACTGATATTAATCTACCTAGGCATTGTGGCACAAGCCTGTAATCCCAGCACTTGGGAGGCTGAGGCAGGAGGAACACTAATGTTGTGGAAGGAACTGGTAAATGACACAAAGAGACATAAGAGTGGGTAAAACAAAAAACATTTACTTTATTTACTTTGCTAGCAAAGGGTCGGCCTGCACCAAGGGCTGACCGACCCTGGGCTGGGTTACAATCTGCCTTTTATAGGAGTTTTACAATTATGACCTCATTTTAAGTAGTTTGATAAGACATTCTTACCTTGAGGCTACTATAAATGAAGCTGCTGTAAGCAATCCTTACCTACTTGTATCTGAACATAAGTCTTTGTCCCTCTGAGATAAATGCCAGAGAGTATAGTTGTTGGTTGTATGATAATTGTGTGTTTAGTTTTTAAGAACTGTCAGATCTAGTTCTTAGTGAACATAACAATTTATATTCCTATCTTGTCTTTTTTTTTGTGGGGAGGGGGTTTTGAGGATTGAACTTAAGACCTTATACTTGCCAGGCAGGCACTGTGCCACTGAGCTAAATCCCTGGCCCTTGTCTTTATTCTTGTATATTAATTCATTCTCCTTGATTTTCAACAATCTTAAATTCTGATATTCAGTAAATTAATAGCTTTTGAAGAAAAAATTGGGGGGAAATGAAGAATAGAATTGAATTGCAGTAATTGGAATTATTAATACTTAATTTGACCCAGTAAAATCCATTAAAAATCCCAAAGATCAATCCCCAGTACCAAAAAAAAAAAATCCCAAAGATTTGAAACACTGAAGTATTTTATGTACAGTACCTATTTTTGTTATACTGAAAATAACAACAGATAAAGTGACTTTTCTTTCTTTCTTTCTTTCTTTCTTTCTTTCTTTCTTTCTTTCTTTTTTTGGTGCTAGGCTTCAATACAGAACCTTTCAGGCCAAGGAAGTACTTAATAACCTGAACTACATGAATAGCCCTCATAATGAGGTTTTTATGAAGTAAAAATTAATCTCATGATAATATTTGTGGCTCATACTCTCCATTTCTCAGTGGTATCTAAAGATTTGGGCCAGATTTTTCCCCTCCTATTATCTATTTCATCTTTTTTCTCTCCTTTATTTTTTGTCTTAGTGTAGCAGTGTCCACACAAACTGAAGTTTCTCTTTCAGAACTTCTTTTTTGGAGACTTCTGTAGCCTGTGACTTGTCACAGGAAATTTGGAAATGTTTTATCGAAGTATCACAGGGCTTTGTCTCTAGGTGCCATTCAATGGTGTAACTGTATGTTGGCTAACTGTAGCATCTTATGAATTCATATTTGCAAAAATAAGTACTTGTCTTTTTGGAATCACTCTGTATCCTAAGACAGCATCCCCGGGCTGTTGCTTTCCCTTTCTCTGCCACATGTTTGTTTTTCATCTTAGGAGCTGTGTGGAGATCGTGACCAAATCTTTGTCCAATTCTGAGAAAGTTGTCCGGCCAGCCCTCGTCTATAGTCTCTTCCCCAATGTTGCCCCTACCATCTATTTTGGTACTCGCGATGAGAGAGGTAAATGTGGCCAAGTGAGAAAGACCAGGAGGGCCCCCAGGAAAAGGATGCTATGAAATTGGGGGGAGGTGGTGATGGGGTAGGAAGGCTTCCAGAATGGCTGTTCTGACAGTTACCTCACTGTGTGTAGTTCTCACGTGGTTGTAGATGTAATATGGGGACTTTCCCTTGGCTGTCCGTTAGCTGTCCCTTTTCAGCATCATAATCTCAGCCTTAGCTAATGCTCTCTAACCTTGTTTCTTTCCCATTTCAACCGCCTCTTTCTTTGCTGTCATCCCTGCACTGCCCCCTTCTTTCCCAGGGTGTGCTCCTCTGAAACATTTTTTAGTGCTTTACTACTCAGGGAAGAATGGGCACCATCGTTACCTTTTCATTCCCTCACTATGACTCTCCTGCCCTCTACCCTGTTGGCTCCCTGTCTTCTGCCTTTCCCCCAGTGGAGAAACTTCCCTGGGAGCAGAGGAAGCTGCTTCGGTGGAAAATGAGCACAGTGACTCCCAACGTCGTCAAGCAGACCATTGGACGGTCCCACTTCAAAATCAGCAAGAGTGAGTCACTCGCCTAATTGTGAGCCTGTTGTCTGTCCTACCAGCTGGGCTTTGGGTAGGAGGTGAGCCCTAGTCCCCTCCTCTATGGGCACATCTGGGGACCCTGTCTTGGTTTCTAACCTCATGAGGGAACGTAGCTCTAATAGCTCTCTAGCCTGACCCTGTTGCTCAAAATTGAGAGACAGAAGGCCATTGTTCTGTCCTTGGCCTCGGGCCTCATGTAGGACAGCTCCATGGCAACTCTTTGGAACAGTCAGAGACCTGTGCCCAGAATCAGAGTATTTCTGGGGCCTATAGGATTCTGTCCCTGGAACTGAGCTGCTAGCATGCTGACTCTCTGATGACCTTCTGTAGGAAACGATGACTGGCTGGGCTGCTGGGGTCACCACATGAAGTCTTCTAGTTTCCGAACCATTCGAGAGCATCAGAAGGTAAGGGTCCTTTCTGAGGTGCCCATTGCCCTGGACTTTGAACTAGGCCAGTCGGGCAGGTGCGGGAAGAAGAAGGTAATTTCTTCTCACAAAGAAGGGAGCTTAGTTTTTAGGGGAGAAAGTCGAGGTGGGAGTACAGGTCAGATCCTAGCAAACCACAGGCATCTGCAGTTCTGCTGTAGTGTCTTAGACAGTTGCTGCCTCTCAGGGACTCTTTCTTTTGAGAGGCATTGGCTAGTTTCAGTTTATTGTTTCTCCTCTAGCCATTGCACATTTCTGCTGTTCCTTCAAACTAAGTGTGTGTGTTGAGGATGTCTGGTTTTGTGCTGGAACAAATGAGTCTCTTGCCTGCAAACTTACTCAAAGCCAGATGCTTTTCTGTCCTTGTCCCTTAGGCTGTTGTGGAAAAAGGTTGAACTGCTTCTTTGCACTCAAGGTGAATGCATTCATGTCTATGCTCATCACTATTTGCTTTGTGATTTAATCATCTTTTGGTGAATATTCAGCAGTTGAATATGTGAGGACCTTTAGGTGGTGACAGTAAGATGGAATGGGAGCTGGGACTGTTCCTAAGAAAGTTGACATGGCATAGTGGAGCTTGGCATCTTTCTCTTATCTCACCTCTACCTTCCCCCTGCTCTTACCCTTTGTCTCCTGTAGTTAAACCACTTCCCAGGCTCATTCCAGATTGGGAGGAAGGACCGTCTGTGGCGGAACCTGTCTCGAATGCAGAGCCGCTTTGGCAAAAAGGAGTTCAGTTTCTTTCCCCAGTCCTTCATCCTGCCCCAGGATGCCAAGCTCCTACGCAAGGCCTGGGAGAGCAGCCGCCGCCAAAAGTGGATTGTGAAGCCAGTGAGTGGGTCACTGCTGGTGGTAGATGATGATCTGAGAAAGGGAACAACAGAGTGTTGGGCCCAGAGCAAATCTTGTCTCCTTTTTACTCACCTTGTAGCCAGCTTCAGCTCGAGGCATTGGCATCCAGGTCATTCACAAGTGGAGTCAGCTCCCCAAGCACAGGCCCCTCCTGGTACAGAGGTGAGCCTCTCTCTAGCTCATGTCTCTCTCCCATCTTCCTATCCAGTTGGCCTTCAGGATTCCTTCTTACAGCATTCTTCTGTCCCTTGTCCTCCCAGGCAAAGAGCTTCTGTAGTCAACTGTTTTAGGGTCTTTAACTAAAGGACACTTAACTGGATTTTGCTATGGCTATTACTCTGGCCTCATCTCATCTGATGCAAAGCTGGCCTTTCCTCTCTGTAGGTATCTACACAAACCCTACCTCATCAGCGGCAGCAAGTTTGATCTGCGGATTTATGTTTACGTCACTTCCTATGATCCTCTACGGATTTACCTCTTTTCAGATGGGCTTGTCCGCTTTGCCAGTTGCAAGTATGTGATAGTGATGAGGTATCGCCTTGACAGTTTGGGGATATATTTTCCTCAGAAGAAGAGAGTAGAGGGCTCTAAACAGAAAAGTAAATGTTCTGGTGGTTTTTGTTAGCAAGGGGGATGGTGGGAGGGAGTAGGAAATAAGAAAGACCTCTACTTCACCAAATCTACAGGACTGAGGTGGGACAAAAGAGATGGGTTTTCTTGTGGGTTTGTAAAACAAATGCACTTCCCAGGCCCTTTTGGGTCTGAAAAGATTGGTTTACTCCGTTACCCCCTCAGGAGTTAGGGAAACGTTTGCCATTCTCCTGCTTTCTCACCGTCTCACCTCTTCTCGCTTCCAGGTACTCCCCTTCTATGAAGAGCCTTGGCAACAAGTTCATGCACCTGACTAATTACAGTATCAATAAAAAGAATACTGAGTACCAGGCCAATGCAGATGAAACAGCTTGCCAGGGCCATAAATGGTACTGATGACAGCGTCCCCATCAGTGAAGGCCTAGAGGATTTCTTTGGGTTTTGGAAGATCAGGGAGATAGTGGTGGAGGATTAGTATAAATCCATAGATTATATAAGTACTTGTCAATCCAGAATTGGTCTACTTTCATCTAAGTGCATCTCTTTAATTCAAAATTTCAAAGGAAGAGATATGAAGAAAATGCCTTTAGACCTCTTATTGCTTGTTCTTCCTCTTTTTTCAGCACTCATTTCTAGAATATAACCCCAGGTGTACTCCATCATTCTCCCTCTGCAGGGCACTGAAGGCTTTGTGGAAATACCTGAGCCAGAAGGGAATCAATAGTGACATTATCTGGGAGAAGATAAAGGATGTTGTCGTTAAAACTATCATCTCGTGAGTCCCGCTGCCATGGTGGGTGGAGGGGGGCATCTGCCGTCCAATTGCCTCTTTTCATTGGCCTGATGCTGCTGTGCCTTAGGCTTTGGATCGTGTTACGGTTCAGTTTTGAGGACAGGGAATAGGAAGAAGTAGATGGAGTTAAATTCTGCTCATTTCCTGAACTTATCCCAGAAGTGGCCCCATATCGGACACATCTCTTCAAGAACCACTTTTCCCGGTTGCTTCTGCCTGTCTTTCTGGGGCACCCCATTGGCAGAGTAGCTCTGGGTAGGAATGTGAAGAAGCGGGGCTGAATGCATCCTTTTCCCTGGGACCAGGTCAGAGCCTTATGTGACCAGCCTGCTCAAGATGTATGTCCGGCGGCCCTACAGCTGCCATGAGCTCTTCGGTTTTGATATCATGCTGGATGAGAAACTCAAGCCTTGGGTCCTGGAGGTCAACATTTCCCCCAGGTAGGTGGTATTTTCAGTATATTCAGAGCAGAATCCTTCCTGTGTTCTCAGGATCCCTTTGCCACTCTAGTTTTGTTGATTTAGGGAAGATCTTTTCTTCACTAGTATTTGTATTTCCATAGTCTTCATTTGCTCATTCCCTCATTCTTCGCCATTACCTCACGTTTCTTTGAAAATGGTGAGAGGATGTTAAAAGTTACTCTTTTCACATGATCCCTATTGCTTGCTTTCTCCTAGCAAACTAAGGTCATGGTCAGGTTTGCCAGCCTGAGTAAGGTTATTCTGTCTTTGGTACAAGAGACTCTTACTGTGGTGTATCATAAATTTGGGTATTGGAACCCTTTTCATTCTAGGGGAGCCAGGGAGTAAAGGGGGGTCAGGCTTGACTTGCATATAGGACCAGAAACCACTTTAGAGCTGCTTTGACTGTGCTTTGCATCTTCTCCCTGAAGCCTCCACTCCAACTCTCCCTTGGACATCAGTATCAAAGGCCAGATGATCCGTGACCTTCTGAATCTGGCGGGATTCGTTCTGCCCAACGCAGAGGATATCAGTTCCAACCCTAGCAGTTCCAGCACCTCCCCTACCAGGTCAGCTCCTCACCTGTTAGGCTTCTTTCCTGCTTGGTCTCCTTGCAGTCACTCTGGCCCTCTGTCCATGCATATGCCAGTGCCACAGCAGCACCCTTTAAAAGCAAGTTTGGCTCTTTTCCTCCCCTGCTCAGGAATATCCACTGGGCTGGGGATCAGATTTAAACTCATTTTCTGGGCATTTGAGGCCCCTGCCTCCCTCTCCGGAGACCATCTTTCTCTGCGTCTCTTCCTGGCTGCTGTGTTAACGACCAGATCACTCACAGAAGCAAGGTTGGAAGGATCCTTAAGGGCCAGTTTAGTTCAGTCTCCTCTCTGAAAAGTTCATTGCTTCTTGCTGTTCCCCATAGTGTTCTTTCCTCTGCTCCTGCGGTTTCTTCCTTCTCAAGTGGCCCTCATCAGACCTCCTGTTCATCAAAGCCTGGCTTCAGACCACGTCTTCATGACACCAACTCAGTATGGGCTTTTTCCTCCATACTTCAAAGACTTGGAACCCCTCTAGAGATGAGTGGCTAAATTTAATAAGCACCTCTGATGAGGGCCAGGATTTAGCTCAGTGATTCTGCTGCTTGCCTCGTAAGTGAAGTGGTCCTGAGTTCAATCCCTGGTACTAAAGAAAAAAACACCTGTGATCTGTAGGGAAACAACTCTAGAGGGTTAATGCTAACGTCGAAGTTTATAGTGAGGAAACTGAAGATCCCTGGTGTTAAGTAACTTAGCCAGCATTGTTTAGCTAGAGAATGGAATTAAAATTTTGATTTCCCTGTAACAAAACTTACTTTCCCTCCTATTTCCTTGTAGTCTCATGTTTGACTCTGTCCTATTGTCATGTGACTTATTCCACCTTCCATACCATAAACTCAGTAGAGGCAGGGGCTGTTTTTCTATCATGTCTGTATCTCCCAGCAGTGATTGTAGTAATAAATGATGAAACTGAGATACAAGAGGTCGTTACTGGCCTAGGGTCACATGGATAATAGACCAGAGCTGACGGTGTAGTGAATATTCACTAAGTTAAACTAAACCTAAACCAAGTCCAATTTTTTTTTTTTTGGTCAAATTTAAAAGAGGGTGCCTCCTCTTCAAGTTCAGACCTTGAATTCTTCTGTGGTACTGGTGTTGGTTAACCCTTGGACAGGCTTCCTGAGTGGAGTGTATTTCAGTGTGTTTCTTTCAAATGCTAAACGTCTTCTAGACATCGTCATCTTCATCTTGAGAAGGGAGTCTTCCCTGGCTGGACCCTCTCTCCCTATTTCCTCAGAATGCGAAGCTGCTGACTCTACACTCTGCTTTCCATACCTCACCTGCAATTACCCCTTAACCCCTACCTTAGCTCTCCCAGGGACAAATGTCAGATGGCTCCCGAGTATTTCACTGCACAGAAGATGAAGAAAGCCTATTACCTGGCCCAGAAAATTCCTGACCAGGTAGGAGATTGGTCTTCTCCCCAGCACAGAGCTGAGCTCAACCATTTGGGACTCCATGTCTCTAGAGCAGGGTTTATTTGTTGGCATGTATCTTATCCTGGGAGAGAATTGATGTTCTTTATCACATTTTCAAGAGCTACTGCCCTTAGCACAATGCTGCAGTGCCCCTCTGTTATCAGAGCTGTAAGCCTTAACTCCTCAGAGTTCTTTCCCTGAGAGGTATAGAATGGCACTGGGAGGCTTGGCCCTCTCGGAGCAGATATGGAGCCAGATGTAAGAATGACAAGCAGTCAAGTATAATGATACATGCTTGTAATCTCAGCCCTCTGAGAGGCTGAGGCAGGAGTATCGTAAGTTTGAACCCAGCCTATTCAACTTACTGATACCTTGTCTCAGATTTTTTTTTGTTTGTTTTTGGTACTGGGGGTGAACTCAGGTCCTTGTGCTTGCAAGGCAGGCCACCAAACTGCTAAGCTAAATCCCTGGCCCCTTGTCTCAGAATTTTTAAAAAAGTTCTTTTAAAGGCTAAGGATATAATGCCCAGTGTAAAGGCCTTAGGTTCCATCCTCAGTACTGGAGCAGGCAAAGGCTGTTATTTGTGCCAAATCTGAGTACCTGGATCTTGACCTTGATTCCATCCAGCAGATCACTTAAGCTTAGAGCCCCTGGGTTGCCCCTGACCCCAGCAAGAGCTGAGCTCAATGGACTTAGGAACAGATGGCAGATGGCATACACAGCTGGCCCACCAGGTGGAGTTGGTGGTCCCATGAGAATTCTGGAGCCCTAGGACCCCAGGACTGTGCTCCCTGTGCCCTAGCCTCTTGATTATCTGCCTATGGCTTATACTCTGTTACATCCGCTTCTCCCCTGTTGCTTGGCCTGTAGGACTTTTATGCATCTGTGCTGGACATCCTGATGCCAGATGATGTTCGCATTCTGGTGGAGATGGAGGATGAGTTTTCTCGTCGTGGTCAATTTGAACGAATATTTCCTTCTCGAATCTCTTCTCGCTATCTCCGCTTTTTTGAGCAGCCACGATATTTCAACATTCTGACCACCCAGTGGGAACAGAAGTACCATAGCAATAAGCTCAAAGGTGATGTGCTCTCTGCAGGAGGTCATGTTTAGTGAGAGATTAAATCCCATTAGTCTAGCTGAATATGGTGGCATACGCCTGTAATCCTAGCACTCTGGAGGAAAAGGCAGGAGGATTACCATGAATTTGAGGTCAGCCTGGGCTTACATGGTGAGTACAAGGCCAACTTGAACTACCTAGTGAGGCCTAAAAACAAAACAAAACAAAAAAAACCCATTGGTCTAAGGAATGGGCCTCTCTGGAAAGAAAATGGGCCAGTTGATTCCTCCTTATTGTCCCAACTGCTGCTCATCTTGTCGTAGGAGTGGATCTGCTTCGGAGTTGGTGCTACAAAGGGTTCCACACAGGGGTCGTCTGTGACTCTGCTCCACTGGTGAGTGACACCACTGTAGAAGGACGACATCTCCTCAGCCCTCCCTCCTTTCCCTGGAGTGTAGTGTGGCCTGGGTAATAGGTGCAGAGCCTCTCACTTCTAGCCCTGCCTGTTTCCTGACCTTTTCCTTTTGAAGAAATGATTGCCACCAGGATTGCCTGAGTACCTTTTTTTCAAGGATCAAAAATGCTTTGTAGGGTTCAACTTTCTAAGTTGAACTAAGACTTTTACACCTTTGGGCCATGCCTTAAGAATGGGGAAGGGAAGGGAAGGGCTCAGAGCTGAAAAGAATTCAGACCCAACCTCTGTTCAGTCCTTTTGTCTCATCATTTCCTTTATTTTTAGTGGTCTCTGCCGACCTCACTTCTGACTGCCCCAAAGAATGATGGGATGCTCAGTGCCTTTAGCAAACTGGACACTGGCAAGCTGGGGTAAGTGCTGCTTCGACATGACAGGGGCTATTGAGTGAGGGAAGTTTTCTTTCTATCTCCCCAGACTATGGCAATGAAATGAGCATTCTCTGTCTAGAGTTTAGTAGGAGTACCAAGAGTATGCAGCCACAGTATCTTCCCTGGGGGCAAAGGTGAGCTGGAATGTGGAATCTTCTGAAGTTGCCGCTTTGAGCCATACTCCACTTGCTGTAGGGAGTGGCTTAGGTTCCTTACCCTCACCATAATTCACATTTGCACTTAAACTGTAAGCCTTCAAATAAATACAGTGTACCTAGAGGGTATTAATATATCCATATAATTATAGCCTAGAGCACTATAGTGTTGTGAATGTGTGGACTGGACTCTGAAGGCAGATGACAGGTTAGTCTTAGCTATGCAGTGTCTAAGCAATCTTTCCAACCTTTTCCCTCTAGAAAGCACAGCTCCTTCACAAGGAACCTACTCCCTCTGAAGAGGGACCACGCCCAACTTCAAGAAGATTTAAACTGGCCTCTCCTTCCCCTTTCTCCAGGAAACCCACTTCTTCAAAGGATAGTGAGGATACCAGCAAAGAACACATCCTCTCCACCCAGACATTACCCATGATCAAATACTCTAGGAAGACTGTGAGACTTTCAACTCCCTCCTAGCTGCTGTGAGCCGGTGACTGGCTGCCACCACATGGCCTGCCCAGGAGCACCAGCATCAGCTACCTCATGGGAACTGCCTGCTGACCAGCCTAAACCCCTACCCCTTCACCTTGCCCTCATCAGAGTATTTTTTGAAGTGGTTGTGTTGCAGAAATGGGCATTTGGAGGGCTGGAGGGGTGAGGTGATGGAGAGCAGGTGAGGAAAGCTCATTCTCTGTCACTTGTTGCCTGGCTGTGTACCTCATATCTCAGTAGAGAAGCCAGTGTTGGCCAAGCAGCCTTATAAAGCAGGGTTTGGTTTCTAACTTCACAGAGCCATGTGTGTTTGTTTTAGGCCCTGATACAATGGGTGAGTTATAGTTTAAGAGGAAAAAAAAAATATGCTGGTGTGTTTGTCTGGAAGTCCTGTGTTCTGTAGCTGAGGAGTTTCTCTGAAGGTCCTCATTTCCTCAGGTCTCCTCTCCCCAACTGCCTACCTCCTTTCCTGAGGAGCCACTTTCAAAATCTCAGGTGTCCTCAGGAGATAGGCAGGAGAAGACATGACATGCTGAACCCACTTGACGTCTTAGTTTTGGAGGGCTCCTGTCCTCTGAACCATTTTTCCTTTTGTACACTCACCCAGCCAATAGCCCTAGGTCTTGCTGTTCTGGTCTCATGTCACTCCTTGTCCACCCTTCTGCTTTCTTTCTCATGTCTGTCCAGCTGAGCCTCCTGTGAGAAGTTCTGTGAACTTGGTGAATTTCCCATGGCTTTAGAGGAGGACCCCTGGGGCTTTCTGCTGATATGGTCTAGGTCCACATGTCACAGGACACATCCAGGGGGAGTGGGCAGGAGCTATGGCTTCCCCTCAACACAGAGGAAGTCTCATTCTCTTTTACAGCTGGCAGGCTCTGGTGGCCTGGCAGGGGCATTCCAGGACAGTCACTTGTAATACTGGCTTCTAGTCAGATCTCTGACGAACCTCATAATCACTTTAGTAAATATGACTGTTGAATAAATGTCAAACAGGTGAACTCTATATGCAAAGACCTTTAAGAATAAGAGTACCTGAACCACTAGCTCTGCTTTTCTTTTCCCTGGGGGAAAGTAGAGCTTGAGGAGAAGCACAAGATATGGAAACATAAAGTGGCTGATTTCACTTGCGCTGTGCTCTTCCTTCACCCAGCACTTCCCAGTGGCTGCTTGCCTCCTCCTCAGTTCTTGCCATCCCTTTAGTTAGTTTTTCTGGCAGTACAACATACAAGAAGTCACTCGGTTCCACATCTCTCATATGCACATTTTGCACATCAAGCAGGAAGCTCAACTACAGTCCTACCCTGGCCTTTAGTTGTCCTTGTTCTTCTGGGCTTTGGAAAGATAAGCTCCCTAGCTTTGTGGCTTCTGGAGTTCTGTGATATGTTGGAGAGGTTTGACTGAGTTCAAGGCCGGAGTTCTGCCCAGTCCTAAGGCTGTGTTGACAGTGAAGAAAGGTTGGCAAGGTCCGAGGCTTCAAAGTTCGGCCAAAGTGGGAGAGGTCTTTGGCATCCTGGTAAATCTGTTTTGATATCACCACCGTGCACTCCTTTCTGGGTGCAGCCATCTCATGCAGGTGTGGGTAAGGGAAGAAGCAGCCTCCCTAAGAGAATCCCAGCTCTACCCAGCAGCCTGCTTGTCGCTGGCCTTCTGGTTTGAGGCCTAGCGGAGCGAGGTTCCTTCTTGGAAACCAGCTTCCGTTCCTTTACTTGACTTCTGAGAGTCCTGAAGAGCACAGCCAGTCCATTTTCATCCCTGTAACGAGAGAGGAACCAGCATTCTAGCACGGTGGGGTTGAGGGAGGAGGAGAGGACTTAGGAAATGAGTGATGAAAATACAGTGCCCTTAGTAGTTTAAAATGTCTATTCACTGTGCTTTTTGTTTTGATGGTACTGGAGATAGACTTGGCACTGAACCCCAGCTCTTTTTTTTTTTTTTTTTTTTTTTTTTTTTTTTGAGACAGGGTCTCACTATGTAGTTGAGACTGGCCTGGAACTCACTATGTAGCCCAGGCTAGTCTCGAACTCACAGTGATCCTCCTGCCTCAGCCTCCCGAATGCTGGGATTACAGGCGTGCGCCACCACGCCTGACTACCAGCTAACACTTTAAAGTCTGTTTCTCTCTCTCTCTCTCTCTCTCTCTCTCTCTCTCTCTCTCTTTTTCTGTGTGTGTGTTTTTGTTTGTTTGTTTCTGGTACCAGGGATCAAACTCAGGACCTGTTCTTTCCAGGCAGTCATGGCACCACTGAGCTAAATCCCCAGCCCTGGTATTTTGTTTTTCGACAGGGTCTGGCTGTCCTCCCAAATGGTCTCAGATTTACTACGTAGTCTAAGCTGGCCTTAAACTCATGATCCTCCTGCTTCAGCCTCTCAAGTGCTGAGATTACAGCTGTGCACCACCAAACCCACCTCTATTTGTTTATAATATGAATACAGTGACTACATACATTATGGGATGTGAATAACATTTAAACCAAACAAAGTAGGACAGAGAGGTTGCTCCTTTATCCATTACTCTCCCTGCCCTGTGCTGGCAAGAAATATTAAAATTTTTCTCTTGAAGCTGAGCAGCTTCACAAATTTTAGAAGGGAAGAGGTCAGAAAAAAGTCCAATTATCTCTATCCCACCTTCAGCCCAGTCCAAACAGAAACAATGTTCATTATGCTTCCATTATATCATTCTAGTGGGGATTTATGGCTTCGGTTAAATACTTCACAGAATGTGGATTCTCTGGGGGAAGGGAGCACATTAAGAGATACGGATGTGAAGTAAGAATTTGATTTCCTTTGATTGGAAAGGGAGAGAGCAAGGGAGCAGCAGGTATCTGATTTCTGGAAAGGGGAAAAACATGGTTCAAAAGACAGACCTTGCCTGAAGCAAGTTCCCAAGTTCTGATGCATGGGCATAGCAGCTGTATCAAAGGACATTTGTCAATACAGGTACATTCTCCTGAGGTCAGGCCATTCAGTTGTGAGTAACTTGTTTCCCTTTACCTTAGCCAAAACACATAGCTGATGGCCCTGGGGCAGCCCAGCACTCGTGAGGGTCAATGAGGTAGGCTGATCCTCTGGGTACACAGACTTTCCCAACTCCCTCAGCTGAGTTAGTTACCTAAGATAGGGTGATCACCAAAGGCATCCAGGGCATCTCCCCTCCTGGCTGCTTCTTGGCTTATTCTACTGTCCCAGTGCCTCATCTCCTTGGGGACTTGGAAACATCGATGGTTTCTGAGATGTGTGAAGTTTTCTGAGAGCTCCTAATTTTGCCGCTTGAGATTCCAACCCAGCCTCTCACCCCTGTAAGGTTCCCTCTGTAGCCAAGTTTGTACACTCATCAGTATCGGGATCTCTACAGGCTCTTTCAGCTTGCTCTTCTGCAGCTTTGGATCAGTGAAGCTGATGGTCTTAGCAGATTTTTCTTTTTTTTCTTTTTTTTTTTTTTTTTGTACCAGGGATCGAACTCTGGACCTTGCGCTTGTGAGGTAGGTGCAGCACCACTGAGCTGAATCCCCAGCCCCTTACTTAGCAGATCTCGTACATAGATAAAAGAACACGACGAGGTTCAAGAGTAGGTTGTTGTCTTTAAAAAGCCCATTTGTACCTTATTTATTAGAATGTACTGAGACACAGAATGCCACAGGAAAAGCTAACAAAATTTTGAAAAGTTAATGTCTCCTAAGTTTGTTAGCTGAGCTACAAAGCCCACCTCATAAGAGATTAGGGGGATTAGATTTGGGGGTAAAAAAGATTGAGTGTAAATCACCTAAGAAAATGCCTCACACACACAAGATACAGATTTGAAATAGGTTCTAAGACCAACAACTACAGCAAAAAGATTTCTTCCTTAAATAGTATGCAGTAGGATTTCAGTAGCATGTTACTCTCATAAAGCTATGATAAGATACACAGTGGGTCCTCTCTACCTAGGTTCCATGTCCATGGATTCCAGCAACTGTAGGTTGAAATGTACTTAGACCTATGATGGTTGTGTATGTACTGGTCTCAAGTAGACTTATCTTTGGAGTCTTTGTCTTTTTTTTTTAGACTTACCTTTTCTTGTCCTTGTTACCTAAACAGTACAGTGTAACAACTATTTGCAAAGCATCTACATTGTATCAGGTGCTATAAATCATCTAGACATGATTTGAAGCATACAGGAGAATGTGTGTAGTTATATAAGGGACTTGAGCCTTTGCATTTGGGTATCTGGGGGTCCTAGAGCCCAGCCCTGTCCCCACAGATAAGGGGACAGTTGTATTTGAGCCTATCCACGGGAGAGTAAAGTTGAGTATTCCATCAAGATAATTAGCTCAGATTAAAACTCTCATCATTAGTTGTCAAAGAAGTGCAATTAAAACTACAATGAAGGGTGGAGATTTAGCTCAGTGGTGCCATGGCCTGCCTTGCAAACAGTTTGATCCCTGGTACAAAAACAAACAGTGAGATACCATTTAACACTAAAGTGACTGAAAAGAAAGACTTGAAAACATCAAATATCAGAATGCGGAGCAACTGGAGCTCATTGCTGGTGGGAATGCATAGTTGGAAAAATGAGGCAGTCCCTGTGATCATCATACACCCAGCAGTTGCACCCCTGCAACCAAAGGCCTGTAGCAACTTTATCATAGTAATGGCACCTTGGAAACAACTCATGTCCAGCAATCAGTAATAAACTGATATATCTATTAATGTGTTGCTAGTTAAGACGGTAAAATAAGCCGATTCATGCAACAACACAGATCTCAAGAGTATTATACTAAATGAAAGAAGCCAGAAACAATATACTTTCTGATTTTATAACACTAGAAAAGACAAATTTTAGTCACACAAGGCAGATCGGGGGTTTTGAGGTACTGAAGATGAGGGAATTGCCTATAAATGTCACACTGGGAACACTTTAGATCTTGGTTGTGGTTGTGCTTACATGATTATACAGTTACTGAGGTGCATCAAAGTGTACACTGAAAAAGAGTACTGTATATGAATAAATAAAGTTCCCTTTCCCCATCCCTGCCCCAGTACTGGTGACTGAACCAGGGCCTCACAAATGCTCAGAAAGTATCCTACCACTAAACTACACCCCTAGACAAAAGATGATTAAAAGCTGAAGGAGGTACCTTTTTTTTTTTTTTTTTTTTTTTTTGGTTTTTTGAGACAGGGTCTCACTATGTAGTTGAGACTGACCTGGAACTCACTATGTAGCCCAGACTGGTCTCGAACTCACAGTGATCCTCTGCCTTAGCCTCCCGTGTGCCGGGATTACAGGTGTGTGCCACCACGCCCGGCTCAAGGAGATACCATTTCCTGAGACCCAAAACCAAATGAGATAATGCTGGAATAACTAAGATTCAAAGGGCAGCTAAGACCATATAGTTTGTCCAACAATTAGAGTGTGCACACACGACTGGTGTGAGTATAAGATGGTGCAGTCATTACTGTGCACCAACAGTTTTTACAAAGTCAACATGTATGTACCAAGGACCCTGCTAAGTGTGGGGGGGGTGAAGCCACTTGTCCTAAAATTTTCAGTATAGTTTTATTCATAATTACAAAAATTTGGGAATGAGCCAAATGCCTTTCAGCAAGAGATCAGATAAGTTGGTGTGGAACGCTCCTCAACAGTGAAAAAAGAACAAATTACTGACTTTGGCAACAACACTGAGGAGCACTAGGCTGAGTGAAAGAAACCAGAACCAGAAGAGTGCATAGTGTAGTTACATTACGTGGAGTTAAAACTGGAGGGACTGGTCTGTGGAAATTGAAATCAGAAGGATGGTTACCTTTGGGAGTTAAAAATATGTTAAGAAAAGAACTTTCTGAGCTGATGGGAGGGCTCTCTCCATTCCTGATTGGGTTTGGTTACCTTGGTGACAATTGTTAAAACTCATAGAACTGCCTATTTAAGACCTGTGCATTTTAGTACCAGAGATTTAGCTCAGTGGGGCTGCTGCCTGCCTTGCAAGCACAAGTTCCTGAGTTTGATCCCCGGTGCTGCAAAACAAAACAAAAGACCTGTGCAATTTTGGGGGGCGGGGGTTGAGACCAGGGTCTCACTATGTAGTTAAGACTGCCCTGGAACTCACTATGTAGCCCAGGCTGGTCATGAACTCAGCGATCTTCCTGCCTCAGCCTCCCAAGTGCTGGTATTACAGGCATGCAACACCACGCCCGGCACACCTATGCATTTCAAGGAGAGCTCTTCTTTTTATTGTTTGTTTTTTTGAGACAGGGTCTCACTATGTAGTGAGACTGACCTGGAACTCACTATGTAGCTCAGGCTGGTCTCCAACTCACAGCAATCCTCCTGCCTCAGCCTCCCGAGTGCTGGGATTACAGGTGTGCACCACCACGCCTGGCAGACCTGTGCATTTTCAGGAGAACACTTCAGGAAACAATTGAGGGAGGCTAACAATCATTTTAAAGGGAACAGTTCAGTGGTGGTCTTTGCAGTTTTGTGCAGCTACTACTTCTAAGTAGTTCTAAAATATTTCCCCAACTTGAAAGGAATCCCTGTGGCCATTAAACAGTTGCGTCCCACCCACCTGTCCCCCTGCCCCTAGAAACACTAGTCTTCTTTCTGCTTCTATAGATTTACATATTCTGGATAATTCATGTAAATGTAATGTGACCTTTAGTGTCTGCCTTATTTCACTTACCATATTTTACTTTGTAACATGTATCAGTTCTCCATTCCTTTTTATAGCTGAATAGTATTCCATTGTATATAACACACTTTGTTAATCCACTCATCCATTGATAGGCATTTGGACAGGCTGCATGTTTCTTATTTGTGGATTGGTTGGTTTGTTTTTGTGGTACTGAAGATTGAATTCAGGGCCTTCATCCTGAGTATAACCTCAACTGTATCAATCAACAGTAAATACATATAAAATTTAATATTACTTAATATTAAATAATATATTTTAATATATCAC